AAATCAGTTAATCAATTATTAAAGAAAATCATTAGACAGAGCGACAGAGCTAAGAAAAGAGACGGGTGAGTTATAAAAAGATGAAAAATGAAAAAAGTTCAAACATAAAAAAACTATTCATGGCACAAATTAAAACAAAGTGAAAAGTCTTGCACTAGAAACAAACCAATACAGTATGAAAAGTTTAAATCTAATGATACAAAGAGCGACAAGAGGGCACAAATGCAAAAAGCATGAATGAAAACAAAACTGAAAACTAATTACTGTTTACCTCTTCAGGATTTTTATATTTTCAAAATTTCCTGATGATATTAATTACATATCCACCTCTGAACCCGCCACCTGAGTATATTTTCATACATTACATGTTTTCCCATTAAATCATTTTGCTGCACAGATTAAGACTTCTTCATTTTATTGATGTGCACTAAGGACAAAAAGCAGTTCAGTGAGCACAGCTGTGTTTGTTTCAACTGTGCACAATCAAGCGACAATCCGCTGTCGTGCAGGATTAGAGCTGATCTGGAAACGAGTTAATGCTGCAGGACAGTCGGTCAGGTGAGAGCCTGACCTTAACCTTACGGCTCATCGGCCCCGCATCAACAGCGGCTGAACAAGTTGCCAGGTGAGTCAGGTGGAAACGCCTCACCTGAGTCAGCTCTGAAGCTGCTTCTCTTCCTGCCTGAGCACAGAAATACGTTACACACAGGGGGTGAGGAGCTTCTGAAAGTTCATCAGAGGGTGTGAGTGTAGCGTCTAGAGCTGCAATGCGTCTGAATGTTACACGTGGTGTCTGGACTTTACACTACAAAGCTTTATGATTTCCATTCAGAAACAAAAATTTAAGCTGATGACATTAGATTATTGTAGAGATAAAAGTCCTAGAAATCATTTAGAACTGCAGCTAGCGGCTATTTTAACACTTATTTTGACAAGTAATCAGATTAAAAAAAAAACGTGGAACTCTTTGCCAATTTTTCATTTAACCATTTCTTTTAAACAATATTAAAAATACATAAAATAAACAAATAATTCAATTCCGTTTTACATAAGAAAATTAACATTTTACTGCCTAAACTGAGCTGTGTTCCCAGAACTAAATGTGGAGAAGCAGCATTCAACTTCTATGCATCACAAATCTGGTGCAACAAGATTAGTTTTGCTTATTACTTTTTGAATTAACCAATAAATAGGAAAATGTGCTTAAATGGATTCCTTTTCTTTACAAAATTTTAACAGAATGAAGCTAAAACTGCCAGTTGAGGAGTTTTGGGCATTATATATGTAGAGATAAAGGGTTTTTATTTTTAAATGCATAATGTATATATTTTCATAGAGTTTTGGTTTAATTACTGCTCTGAGTGTGTTGTCCTTTCAGAAAATGGCATTTTTATGAACCAGTTAACAACTAATTGATTATTAAATTTGTTGACGATTACTTGACTAATCGATTGATCATGATCAATCTGATTAATTGTTTTAGCCCTATCAACAATTCAGCATTTTAACAGCTCCCTTACCATCATCTATAACTATACCTCTTGTTGCAGCTGAATAATTGTGCTGATGTCTGAAACAAGTAATTAATCTAACCAGCTGCTAAATCGAGGCTTCGTTGGTTTGCTGAATGAGCCCCCTCATATCGGCCGTGCCGTCTAAAAGCAGGTATCTGCCGAGAAGTAGCATCTCTAATCCTTTAAGAGGATAAACTGTGAGATCCAGAGGGAGGGATTCAGGATTCACCGACTGTCTATGGTGGCCGGCACAAGGCATTTCTGCCAACTTAGCAGACTGGGTGTGTGTCTGGTTGAAACCTGCTGCTGGAGTCTTTATTATTATGCCTTCATGGAGCAGGAAGGATGATGCAGGCTGAGGAAAACTCAGTGCAACTTGAATCTGAGAACTGATGGAACGGGGAGTTAAGGTGAGTCAGAGACCCTTTTAAAAACACTTTGGGTTCAAAGATATGCACCCAATTTTTGAACCCAAAGATTGGGTTCAGAAATTCTGCATAAAACTACTGTTAAGTATAAGTTCTCATATATCTACAGCCTTCAGTAATAGAAGTCATTATATTTGACTTTGCACTGTAGTTTTAATACTTTAAAATATTTTTATTATTTTCATGCGAAGCAGAAAAGTTATGACAATAAAAAACCTACATTATGTTAAAAATTGCCTTGGAGATGTGTATTTATTATTCATATGTAGGATTTTATAAGACAGACTAATAAAGTAGTGAATGGTTGTGAAATGGAAGCAAAATGATGTTCTGTTTAAAAAGTCTCAAGCATATTGCATAAAAAAGTAATCAACTCCTTTGATTCTACATTTTACTAAAAGTATTCTGGGTTTGTCTCTGCCAGTTTTGTTCATCTACAGAGTGAAAGCTGTGACTAAAGTAGCTCAGGTTCGGTCAGAATGTCTGTTAACATCAAAGTTTAAGTCTTGGATTTAGGTCTAGACTTTGACTAGACCATCTTAACACATGATTATGCTTTAAAATTTCACTGCAGCTCTGTGTTTCCTTCAGGACTGTCCCAGGCCCTCACCCTCCACCCCCACAGAATGATGCTGTTACTGTGTTGCCATAAACATTTGTTTTAAAGAATTTCAATAGAAAAGGTTGATGGGAATGTTGTCAGCAACATTTGAAATAACTTCCTTAATTTTGCAAAAATTAAGGAGATTTTGCAAAAATTAAGGAGACTATTCTCTTTTTTTGTAAAAAAGTTTTCACTTGAAGTGGTTTTTGGCTTTTCTGAAAAAAAGCTGAAGTGGTAAAGAGGAGACAGAAAAACATTTGCTACATGAGCTCTGACGTAACAAACTCCCATTCACTGGTGGGTCGGTGCCTAACCAAAGGCACGAAACTCCAAACCTAAGTTCTAAGTCCATGCCTATTATTGAAAATGAGTATGAATCTTCCACAACTGCAGTGCATCTGAAAATTTATTAAAAAAAAATTCTAGAAAAAAATTGAAAATCTGAGTTTGAAAAGTTGAAAATTTGCTAGAAATAATTCAAATTTTGAGAATAATCTCAGAAAACACAAGTATATTTCTGAGTCAAAAGTTTTAAACTTTTGGACTTTCAAATTTCTGAAACTCAGAAATTCACTTGTTTTTTTCTAGAACATTTCAGAGTTTTGGCAGGAATTTACTCTGTAGATTTTTTTCCAATCTACTGTGGCCTTAATACGTCATTATACATTTGTGTGGGTTAGTGTGGATGAAAACCAGTCCGAAACCGATTCTGTGTGAATTATATTAGCTTTTAAAATTCATCCATGCATCTATTTTCCTTACACCCTTGTCCCTCAGTGGGGTCGGGAGGGGTGCTGGTGCCAATCTCCAGCTATCGTTCCGGGCGAGAGCCGGGGTCCCTTTGGACAGGTCGCCAGTCTGTCACAGGGCAACACAGAGACAAACAACCATGCATACACACACACTCACACTTAGGGGCAATTTGGAGAGGCCATTTAACCTGATAGTCATGTTTTTGGACTGTGGGAGGAAACCGGAGTACCCAGAGAAAACCCACACATGCACAGGGAGAACATGCAAACTCCATGCAGAAAGACCGGGGCCGGGAATCGAACCCAGAACCTTCTTGTTGCAAGGCAACAGCGCCATTGTGTAGCCAGCTTTTAAAATTATGTGAAGAAAATGTTTTTTTATTCAGGTGGGTGTGTACATGGCCTGGGGATCTGATGAGGTCACAACTGACCAATTAGATTAGAGCGTTTTGAAAGCCTAAATATATTTTTTAAATTTCCCAAAACAAAAAGCTATATTGTAGTCTATATTATAGGTGAAATTTATCATCTTTTCATCAACTATATGACATCAAAACATGCCAATACTAATATATCTTTGTCCATGTCCAGTCTTACGTCCATCCAGACTGCCATGCCTGTATTGGAGGTGATCTGCAGCCTGATTGGCTGGCTGTGCCTCTACCTGTTGTTCTGCTCCACCTTCTCTCAGCGAGGGCCCGAGTGGAACTGCCGCTTGGTCACCTTGACCCATGGGGTCATCATAGTGCTGCTGACAGCATACGTTGTGTTTGTTGACGGTCCCTGGCCCTTCACACATGCAGGTCAGCAGCGCAAAACACAGAAACTGTGATGTGATGATTCAGTTTGAAGGCAAACATGGCGGATTGTTACTCAGAACAACAAATCCAAAGCCAATTTACGATGGTTCTTTGTTTAAACCAAATATTAAGTGGTTTTTATTAAGAATGACTGAGATCATTTTGGAAGTCTTATTCCCAGATGTTCAAAAAGACCAGAAACCATTCTGCTGCAGTTGAATCTGTAGACATGCTGAGAATGGACACAAAAACCGGTTTGGTGGGTGTAGCTTTGCAAATAATAGGGGTTAATAGTACCACACTAAACCTGTAGATCTCAATAAATGATTTGGAGACAGATGTTATTGGTTAAATGGTAACATTAAGACTTTTTATAAGTATATCTTCTCTGCAGGTACAGAAAACACTGACCTCCAGATATTTGCCCTGGCAGTTTGCCTCGGCTACTTCTTCTTTGACCTGGGTTGGTGCGTGTGCTACCGGAGCGAGGGCCCAGTCATGCTGGCTCATCACGCCGCGAGCATCGTGGGCATCTTCCTGGCGCTGCTGATGGGCGTGTCGGGCTGTGAGACCTGCGGGGTGATCTTCGGTAGCGAGATCACCAACCCACTGCTGCAGAGCCGCTGGTTCCTCCGCCAGCTCGGACTCTACGACAGTATGTTGGGCGACGCCGTGGACCTGCTCTTCATCCTGCTGTTCGCCACGGTGCGTGTCGGCGTGGGGACCGTCATGTTTTACTGCGAGCTCACTTCGCCCAGGACTTTGCTGATAATGAAGCTCGGCGGCGTGGTCATGTATTTGCTAGCCTGGGTGTTCATGGTGGACATCGCCAGGTTCGGCTACAAGAAGACCAGGGCCAAATACAGGAAGTGGATGGAGAACCACCAGCTCAAAGGCACGAGCGAAGAAAAACCAGTTGGCCACGCAGACAAGAGTGATTGAAAAGACTAACTCAACCGCTTTCACATGTTTTTAACACGCTCCATGTTTTTTTTTTTTTTTTTTTTTTTTTTTTT